TTATTTATGTGACTAAAGAGCCAAGACAAGCCAATGCCAGAGTGACTTTGTCAGGTGTCCATGCTGGGACACTGACATGGTGGCTTAGTTTTAGCTCTAGAGTCTGCTCATCCTCGGTACCAGAAAGAAGAGCCTTGACCAGTGGGTAAAAGTTCTTGACTCCAAGCCTGATGACGAGAGAGTTTGGTCACCAGACCCATATGGTCAGGCTGTTCTCTGACCTCCATACATATGGTATGACGAGCATGTATGTACATATAATGTAGTAAAAAAATATAGATGTATTGATTTTAGAGAAAAATTTGTGTTTAGGAATATATCTGTGGAGTTCAGGTGCCCAGAGATCTGAAGAAGGTGTATGATCTCCTAGAACTGGGGTAAAGGGTGGTTTATGCGCCTCCTGATTTGGGGTCTCCTGAATTCAAGTCCTATGCAAGAGCAATACATAATTGCCCTTACTATTGAACTACCTCTTCAGCCTCCAATATTTTTAAAGATGATGATAATTTGAAATAGAGACTCTTCTGTAGCCCTGGCCTTGGAACTATGTAAACCAAGGTTGACCTCAGTGTCATGCTAGGATTAAGGCATGGGCCATTTTTTTTAAGTTTAAAAATTTACATTTACATACTTTGTGGGAGAGAGTGGGGGCTACACATGTGCCACTGGACATTTGGATACCAGGGATTAAATTCAGGTCCTCATGCCTCTAGCCACTGAGTCATCTCACTTGCCCAAAGAGGCAGTTTTCTCGTTGTTTTGTGTTTTTGTTTTTCTGAGACAGGATTTCTCTTTGTAGCTCTAGCTGTTCTAAAACTCACTCTATTGACCAGGCTGGCCTCGAACTCAGAGATGCACCTGCCTCTGCCTCCCAAGTGCTGGGATCAAAAGTGTGTCTTGGCTTTATTAAGAGTCTCTATACAAAGGGAGACAGAAAGTCAGTAATCTGGATCTTACCTTGGAGATCTCCAGTGCATTTTCTCAAAGTCTGAGTTATGTCTGTCTGAGGCTTGTGAGCTGCTAGGATGCTGCTTTCTTTGGATCACTGTGGGTTCTTTGAGGATTCACAACAGGCTGAAGTCAAGATTGGGTCAGTGACCTCCAGGGTATTAGATGGTCCATTAGAAAAAGGGTGGGAGGGCTGGAGAGATGGCTCAGTGGTTAAGAGCATTGCCTGCTCTTCCAAAGGTCCTGAGTTCAATACCCGGCAACCACATGGTGGCTCACAACCATCTGTAGGGAGGTCTGGCGCCCTCTTCTGGCCTTCAGGCATACAGACAGAATATTGTATACATAATAAATAAATAAATAAATATTAAAAAAGAAAAAGAAAAAGAAAAAGGGTGGGAGGGACATTCATAACTAAGGCCTCTCAACGCAGCTGTTTCTTGTTTCTAATCAAGTTGGGGTATTTTGTAGGAGACTGACTGGCCTGAAGTGGCCAAGGACTGCTCCTGTTCCTGCCATGAGGGAGGTCCTGATTCTAAGCTGAAGAAAAGCAAGAGGAGAAATTGTCATTGCAGCAGCAAGGTGAGGCAGGTGCTTGGTGTGCTGGGACTGCCTAGGCCATACTGTGCAGGTGCTCGTTTCTTGTGGTTTTGTTTTTGTTTTTGTTTTTGAGATAAGGTCTCTCTACATAGCCCAGGCTGTCTTCATACTCACCATGTAGATGAGGCTGGCCTCAAACTCAAAGACATATAGCCTGGCTATATTCTGCCCTGCTATAGGCCAAAGCAACTTTATTCATTAACCAATAAGTATAACACATATACAGAAGGACCTCCCACACCATCAGGTTATTTGGACTAATGGCTTAGCAGAGTAAAGCCAGGTGGGAAATCAGAACAGAGATTGAGAGAAAAAGTAGGCAGAGTCAAAGAGATGCTATGTAACTACTGAAGGAGATAGACACCGGAACTTTACCTGGTAACCCACAGCCTCGTGGCAATATACAAAATAATAGAGATGGGTTAATTTAACATGTAAGTGCTAACTAGGAATTTATGCATAAGCCATCGGTCAAGCAGTATTGGAATTAATATAGTTTCTGTGTGATTATTCGGGTCTGGGTTGCCAGAAAACCAGTCTTATTAACTCTTATATCTTACATCTTAACCCATAATTTTTGTTTGTGTTAGCCACGTGGCTTGATAACTTTATCAGCAAGGCATTCTCGTCTTGCTTCCTCTGTGTCTGGGTGACAGCTGCAGACTGACTCCTCTTCCGAGAACTCTCCTGTTCTTGTCACCCCGCCTATACTTCCTGTCTGGCTACTGGCCAGTCAGCGTTTTATTAAAAGAAAGTGACAAATCTTTACAAAGTACAAGACCATTATCCCACAGCACTACAGTTACATTTTTGCAAGTTTTTAAAGAGAGTCTTTGATTTGAATATGGTGGTCCACCCTTGTAATCATAGCACTTTACAGGCAGAGACAAGAAACTGGGAAATAAGACCCTATATAGCATGTTCCAGGCAGCCAGGGCTACATAGAGACCCTGCCTCAACAACAACAACAAAAATAAAACAACAGCAAGAAGTGTGGCTGGAGAGACTGCTTAGCAGTTGAGAACCTGTGAGCGAAACAGAGTGAGTTGTTGTCAGAACAAATGCAGTCCTCGTGAGTAAGACCAGAACATTGTCACCCTTGCAGGTTTGTGACAGCAAATCTTATAAGAGCAAGGAGCCCCTGGAGTTGGTGGGTAGTAGCCCCCTTCAAGAGGCAAGTTCTCTGCCTGCAACTAAGGAAGGAGGTCAAGGCAAGGACATGTTGTTAGAGGAAGCTCTGGAGGAGCAGGAGAGTATTGATGTGACCCAGATTAGGACTGGCAGGACCACCAGAAAGGGAGAGACACCCACTCCAGGTAAGTAACCTGACTTCAAGCTATGCCTTTCCCTCTTTTTCCACACTGCAGGAAACTGGATGAGCCTAGCTCAAACACCTTTCCAGGGATGCGCTGACACTTTGTCATGAAAACATGGAGATCCCTTTTCCCTTCCTTCTCACGTAGTTAAAAGATTTTGTTAAAATGCCAGGCAGTGGTGGCACATACCTTTAATCCCTGCACTTGAGATACAGGGGCAGGCACATCTGTTTCAGGCCAGCTTGGTCTACAGAATGAGTTCCAGGATAGCCAGGGCTAAATTGTCTCAACATTCCTCAAGTCTTCTCCTTCCCATTAGCTTTCTAAGAACCGTGCCCTCCTTTGCTGCGTGACTTCATCACTTCCCCGTCTTTCCAGTAGCTCCCCAGTGGTTGTGGTTTTTGGTGTATCCCCTGATCCCCATGTTCCTCCTAAGCAGGGTCGACAGTCGGGAGTACCTTGCTGTGCTCTGCAGAAGTGACTCTCGTGGAGCGACCCTTGGAGGGCTTAACCCTCTGCTCACCAGAGACTCCCGGGCTTCCTCCTCAGACTGGAGTTGAACTCTCCTCTGTCAGGAGAGACCAGGCTGGGCCTGAAGTTGTCTCCTGCCTTGACACATCCACCATACTTCCCAAAGAGGGCGAGGACATGAAGTCTTTTGCTAATTCAGAGACTATTGTGCCGCTCCCAGATGCATCAGAAACTGAAAAACTGCCAAGCACTGTGGAGATCCCCGCTTCCCTCCCCAGTCCTGTTTCCTCAAGGACCAGAGACACAGGGAGAAGACACACATATGGAAAAGTCTGTACTCAGAGCTGGCTACATGAGAGCCCAGTGGAGGCAGAGACAGCCCATATGGTGGCTCCTGTCTGTGGAACTTCATCAGGAGTTGGTGCCTCAGAGATCACGCCCAAAGCTGCCAGCGGGGTCATAGCTGAAGATAGCGGAACTCAAGGCAAAGGTCCAGAGGGGGGTCTGCCAAAAGCCTCAGAAGCTACTGTCTGTGCCAACAACAGCAAGGTCAGCTCCACTGGGGAGAAGGTGGTATTGTGGACAAGGTAGGTAAAGACAAGCTGTGTTTGCAGAGTGTAACACAGGTCCAAAGTGATCCTCAGGCCTAACTATGCTGCCTGGCTTTCAGGGAGGCTGACCGAGTGATTCTCACCATGTGCCAGGAGCAGGGCGCACAGCCCCACACCTTCAGCAGCATCTCCCGGCAACTGGGGAACAAGACCCCTGTTGAGGTGAGGTGGGGCGGGTCACAGGGTGATGGGGAACGAAGGCGGGAGAATGGGACCAATGGGGTTTACAGTCATAAGGAACTTTTAAGGCAACAACTGGTTCTTTTAAAGCTTGGCTGAGGAAAGGCTTGGCCTGTCAGTGTAGTGGGTTTCTGTTGTTTTCTTTGGAGATGATTTTCACTATGTCCCTGGCTGCCCTTGAATAATGTAGATCAGGCTGGCCTTGTACTCAGGAATCCTCCTGATTGCTGGAATTAAGGTGTGTACCGTATCACCGAGTCTTGTTACCAGGGAAGACTGTTCTGTTTGTGGCATTCGCCTGTTTCTACAGAAGACACAACCTTGCTCTGTATAATAAGTGGGTGCCAAGTTCATTTAAGCAGACTGGAACCGTGAGCCCAACCCCTTTCCTTTGCTAGGTTTCCCACCGTTTCCGAGAACTCATGCAACTCTTCCACACAGCCTGTGAGGCCAGCTCTGAGGATGAGGATGATGCCACCAGCACCAGCAATGCAGACCAGCTCTCTGACCGTGGGGACCTGCTGTCTGAAGAAGAGCTGGATGAATGACACCCTGGGAAGGTATGGGTTTCATCTGCCAAGACCAACCAACAGCCCTCTGTACAAGGGTGGTTGTACTTGACTCATAGACCTTGAACCTTGACAGAGCCCGTTGGGAGATGGTTCTGCGGCCTGTGTCTCTCAGGGACTTCAGTGAAGACCTTACAAACACATTCTGGAAACAGCATTGGTGGAGAACGGGGCTTGGCTCTTTTGTGAACTCACTCTCTTTAAATGTACAAATGCATATGTCTTGCAGCAATCCCAACACACTGGGTTCCTGCACCCGGCAGCTTTTATTACAAATTATCTCCCCAATACCCTTCCCTGGAACATCAGTTTGAAAGGCTGTTACCCTCCTGGTAACACTGGGCCAGGCTGTGTAAGTCCTGTAGCAGCTCTTCCATGTCATCCCGCTCCACCCCAGCGTCCATGAAGCTAGCCCAGCGCCGCAGGTCAAGTCTGGCCAGCTCTTCAGCCAAGTCTCTCAGAGTGCGGTACAAGGATGAAGATGAGCGCAGGGCTCCAAACACAGGGATGCTCTGCACCGCTGTAGAGGGAGAGAGCTGGGGTCTACTCTGGGCGTGGTATATTGCTGTAGAGGGAGAGAGCTGGGGTCTACTCTGGGCATGGTAGATTGTAAAGGCAGTGAAGTGTGTGGCGTTGCTCTAGTATGCCAGCACCCTAGAGGGGCTGTGGTCGGGTGGAGGAACGCTCAACTGTGAACTTTCTGTTTGGCACTTTCATTCAAAGACAAAGAGTAAAACCGCCCCTGTGCGGCTCAAGTGTTAACTTCTCCATGTCCTACCTGCGCCCTTAGGGGGACCATCCAGGGCCAGTCCCTTGTGACTGAAGCTGGAGAAGAGGTGTGGGTAAGGAGGAGCCACTCTGCAGGGCGTCAGCAGCAGGTGTGAGGAGCTGCAGGCAGAGAGCAGTGAGGTGACTCAGAGAGCAGAGCGGCAGAGGCTGCCTGCCACCCGGGAGCAGGGCAAGTGCCCAACTGACCTTAAGACTCTAGGGTGCTGCTGTTGTAAATAGAGGGCCAAGACTTCTTCTCCAGAGGCACAGGCATGGAGAGCCGACGGCAAGGATGTCCCTGGGTTGAGCTTACTGCCAGAACAAAAGGCAGACCTTTTGTACATACTTGAGCTGTATGAATAAGAGCTAAGAACCCTTACATCCCTGGACCAGCAGCTGGGTCAGTCCAGAGCTCGTATTAATGTGATTAAGGCGGTGATGGCGGTCGGAAGAAAGCATACCTCAGGAACAAAGACCTGAGCAGGTCTCACAGGGCCCCTAATAACCCGGTCTTTACCTGGTGTGACTCATCCTGTCTATACCCCTGAGCACCACTGACTGGGCAAAGCATCGACTTCCAGCAGAATCCCCACAAGCAGAGAGTGGGGTCCACGGGGTGGTTCCTCCAAGTTGTCCCAGGATGTCGGGAAGGGACTGGCCTGGATCCAGTGGGAAGGGGATGACTGCTTCTGCTGTCACCACCTACAGACCAGGAGGTGTCAGGTTACAGAGCCTTTCCTGGGCTCTGGCCAGGCCTTCAGAAAGCTTCTTACCTTTCTCCCTGAGAAACTTAGCAGATCAGCCAAATGAGCCATAGGCACCATGGAGGACCGCAGGCGGAAGGGAGCTGTGACTGTGTCCAGGGCTGTAGCAAGAATGGCGCTACAGTGGAAGGGCAGAGTGGCCTGTCAAGTGGGACAGGAGGGGATATTGGGTCTCTCGGGTGTGGGAAACACACCAAGGACAGAGATCTAGGAATGAAGTAAGGCTGTTCGTCCTGAGGCCGGATAAACATGAGGAGCTAAGAGGTCAGGTTTAAGGTGGGAACCCAACTTGGTGTAAAAGTGATTCCTGAGTATGTGTTGGGTGCTAGGTTCAGTCCCTAGCACCACACGCACATGGCCGGGAGGTGGGGTGGGAGAAGAAGCAGAGTCGCAGTGATAGAGGCTGATATAAACGGAGCTTCGAGCCTTACGTCATAGTGTAGGTCAGGGAAGCTGACAGGTGGCTTGGGTCGCAGGCCCAGGTGCCCTCCCAGGGATAAGGGACAGACAAAAGAGCTGTACCCAGTCAGGTGCACCAGACCAAATGCTGTGTTTAGGAGGCGATAGATATTTTTCTGGGGCTCCTGGTAAAAGAAATAAGAGTGGGTTGCTCCACATAACTTCCTCAGTGGGGTCCTCTCCTTCCCACCAACTCTGCTGCTTTTCTTCCAGCTTCCACTCACCCCAAGACTGTAGGGAGCAGGGAGCAGACCCCACGTTATTACTCCTCGTCCTGAATACTCGTCTTGTAGTAGCTCTGCAGTTTTAGCGCCTACTCCAGAGAAGCCATCGTGCAGGTCACACAGGATCTGGAAGCCCTGCAGAGAGGTCAACAGAGCAGACTGGAGCCTGAGACGAGCGTCTCCCCAGCACCTGCAATGCCACATAGCTACCTGCAAGTAGTCACACTCTTCCACATAGAAATGTAGTCTGTCCTCCAGCTCCTCCAGGTACCTGGGTTCCTTCAGGATACCCTCCCCTTGTCCAAAAGCCTCCAGGCGACCTGTTTCACTACCAGAAATCACTGTGATGAAACCCCAGTCCTGCCCTCAGCTCCCCAATCTGCTGTTTTGGAGGAGGGCAGGTGAGATGGAGCCCCATACCCGTCATGGTTGTACTTGTGAATCACACAGATGCTCCGCGGATGGAGATGCACTCTCAGGAAGTCTGACCAGACTCTGACGCCGTTCTCTGTGGGAGAAATGGTGGGCAGCACCTTTCCCAGAGTCCCTGCTCTGTTCAGTCTCCAGCATCAAGAGACGCCTCACCTTTGCCATTTTGGATAGGTTTGGTCCTCCAGACACCGTCAGTATTCAGCACTCCCTGGGAGGGGTGAGGGAAATGACATTTATTTCCAGGAAGTTCTCCTCTGCCGTGTTTTTTCTTCTGTGTATATGTGTGTGCCCCTGTGGATTTGATGTGCACCACTTGCCGGAAGCCAGAAAATAGCGTGAGGTCCCCAGGAACTGGTTCCCGGTTGTTTTGAGATGCCTGAAGGGGGCATTGGGAACTCAGCTCAGGGTCCTTTGAAAAAGAGGCGAGGATTCTTTCTTAGCCTCTAAACCAGATTAGAGGTTCCTGCCCTTTTACAGCCAAAGGTGCTTTGTCCAAAATCGAATGTTTCTAAGGTATTTATAGTGGCTAGATGCCTCCTTTTCTGCCTTACTACTTTGCCTGTGGTAGGTTTCAAAGTTTAGGGCAGAGACCGCATCACCTCTGCACTCAGAAGGTCCTGGAGGTTAGGGTTCTTTGGGTACTCTTCTTCTCTGTGTGTGGTGAGCTTCCCTTGCCTGAAAAAGAGTGGAGATGAAGCAGAAAAAATGCCCATTTGATTCTCTCTCCAGCCTTTTATGCTTGTGCACTGGCTCTCCCCCTTCCTACATTCGACACACACCATGCTACTGCAGCCTCTAGCTGCCGGTCCTTGTAGAGGCCACCTTCTTCCTTTAGTGAATTCAGACTTCCTGCACAGAGATGAAAGACAAAGTCAAAGCCTAGAGCATCATCTCCCTCAGACAACCTGATCACCTGTCTGGTGATGTGTGGTAGCACTTGGCAAAACTTTTTGTTTGGCTTTTGAGATGTCTCCCTACGTATCCCTATCAACTATGTAAACCAGGTTGGCCTGGTACGCAGAGATCTACCTGTCCCTGCCGGGATTAAAGGCGTGCCCAACCGCGCCAAGCACTGCACTTGGCTTTTTAAAGCATACTTGGATATACGCTAGAAGGATGGGGAATCTGGACTCCATCCTTCTGTTGGGAGCCCGTGGCTCTGCCCACTCCAGAGTTGAACAGTCTGGTCTTCCGGTGTCCTCTGGGGGCTTGTCCCCTGTGTGGGAAAACCTGGCTGAGCTCCGCCACTGCCTCACCTTTCAGATCCATGAGGATAAGTCGCGGCGTATAGGTTTCCTGGCCATGCAGCGTCCGGCCGGCTCGGTACAGGACGTCGGGGCACAGCTCCCCCGGTGACGAGTCGCCTTCGGTCCTAGGTCCCAGCGCAGCATCCTGCAGAGTGCAGAGGGCTGAGTGGCGTGAGGAGGGGCATGGCCATGTACCTTCCGTAGGGAGCGCCGGGACGCCATGCGTAGCCTGACCTGCTGGTTCCACCAGTGTGCCCCGACGAAACCCGCGAAGTGTCCCAACTGCAGTGTGAGTACCTCGCGCGCCCCGCCCGCCATACCGCAGCCGCTGCTCACCGCTCCACTGCCGCCGGGGGGCGGGCTCCGCGCCCTATTGGCTCCTGAGCGCGTGCTTTCCCGTTGGCTACACGTTGGCTCCGGCGTGCGGCTCGCGCCCCGCCTCTTCCTCTCCAGGGTGACCGGAAGCTGGCGCGTCCTCGCTGGTCCCACGCCTTTCCCTCCCCGTCAGGGCTCCTATTCCGGCCAAGGTCATGGAAGGTTCTCCCACTTGTTTTTGTCAGTCTTCTCGCAGATGCCTCCCTCTCCTAACTAGTAATTCTCGAGAGAAAAAAACAACTTGACGAGGAACTCGATGCTCCACTGACTGACTCCTCCCAGCCTAAGGTCCCAGCCTGGCTAAACCAGTAAACTGGGCAATGGGTCGTCTGTCTGCTTCTGTTACGTTATGGAAAAGGTTTTAGTCCCCTTTTGCATGGACATAGAGTTCATTTGCACTTCTGTGCTTTATTTATTTATTTATTTGCTTCCTTACTTATTATTTAAGTTTTTCGAGGTAGGGTTTCTCTATAGCTTTGGAGCCTGTTCTGGAACTCGCTTGTAGACCAGGCTGACCTCGAACTCACAAGAGTTCTGCCAACCTCTGCCTCCCAAGTGCTGGGATTAAAGGCGTGCGCCACCACCCACCCTGAGCCTTTAATTTCTTTTTGAGTCATCATTTGGGCAACGTTTTGTGACAGGCTCACTGTTAGCCCAGCCTGGCTTCTTGGAAAAGGCTTGTGCTTTTTTGTATATCCAGTGGACAAAGGATTTCCAAACCACATGTGAGGGCACAACCCTATTATCCTGTTCTTGGAGGAGGGAGACCAGTCAATCCTTAACTCTGTAGCAAGTAGAAGGCCCACTTGGGCCCCCTGACAGCATGTCTAAGGTCCAAAACAGATGGCTATTCCCGAATGTCTTGCTTATATTTGGGGGGGGGGGGGTGCGAGTGTCTGGTATTTATAGCAGTGCACTATTTATGACATAAATTTATTGCTAGTCAAATGTACAGACAATATCTCCTACTGAACAACATTTAGCCTTTATTCTTTGGTGCCTTGGGATGATCAGCTTCTAATATTGTGTGGGCCAGATAATAAGTTGAGGGGATTGGTTCTGTACTGCCATGTGGGTCCTCCCTCAAGTCCAAGCTTTTCTTGAGGCTTGGCAGCAAGCACCTCTTACATTGAGCTCTCTGCCTGGGCCCATTCCTTTATTCATACTTACATTTTTATTTGGAGGCTGTTGTGGGAATGTCTACTCCTCCATTCTTGTATGTGTAAGAAATGTTGAATGATCATCTTTTCTTTCAAACTCAATAAAACAAATTTTATGCTTGAGTGGTTGTGTGTTTCTGTGAGACTCTGAGACCATCTTCCATACAGAGTAGGACCACTAGAAACAGAGGCTGTGGTGAGCTTACAGCCACCAGCTACAAATGAGCAGCGGGGTCAGCCCCTCTGGCCCCAGCTGCTGGTGGCTGCCTGCTTCTCATCATGAAACGGGCTGGAACCAACCTCCTTTCCCAGGCCCCGAGACAGGGTGCAGTCTATATAAACCTTTGTTCTAACTAGTGAGGTGGGGAGTTCACGAAGGGAAGGAGGCTGGCCCGGCACATGGCAGAAGAGGACAGAGGTCTTACACAATTAAGGTCCTCTACTTTTTGGTGTGGGGGTGCTGGGGTGACACAGGTAGCCCTGACTATCCTGAACTCTGTCCCATTTTCCATGGAAGACTTAGAAGCCTCCGTTGATTTGTTGGAGCTGGAGAGATGGCTCAGTCATTAAGTGTACTCGTTGCTCCTACAGGGGACCCAGCTTGGGTTCAAGCATTCACGTGGATCAATGCCCTCTTCTGATAGCCATTGTTATTTCATGCACGTAATGTACATAATACTCATATACATACAGTACATACATCTGATGAAAATGTTGGAGCTGGAGAGATGGGTCAGGGGTTAACTCTTCGATCACTGAGACAGCGGCAGCTCAGAATTCTTGTAACTTTCTCCAGCCTCAGGGTAACCGACAGCACAGGGTACACACAACATATACTTGACATACACTAACAGTCACACAGACCTCTGAGGGCACACACTGAACATAGACATGTCATACACTAACATGGTCATATAGACCTCCGAGAGCACACACTGAACATGTCATACTAATGTAGTTTTCCACTAATGTAAATTAAAAACTTTTTTGTTTTGTTTTGTTTTTGGTTTTTCGAGAAAGGGTTTCTCTGTGGCTTTGGAGCCTGTCCTGGAAGTAGCTCTGTAGACCAGGCTGGTCTCGAACTCACAGAGATCCGCCTGCCTCTGCCTCCCAAGTGCTGGGATTTAAATGAAAAAAAAAAAGCCCAGTTTTGTGCCAAATCACCATGCCAGCTATTTTTTTCTGTGCTGTGTCCCTTCCTGCAGAATTGTGTATTAAAAACCACTTTCCCTCCTCTCCTAAATTTGATTTAGTCCCAACTATCCTAGTTCTAACTGTTCTGAGACCAAGCTGGGGAAGCAGTGAGTTTATTGAACCTCCTCACAGAGCATGAAGGAGTTGTTGTTTACTAAAGGTCGGGGCATGGGTCATCCTGTCCCGTGTGCCCCGCCCCTACCTTCCTGCAGATTATACATACTCATTTCCCAGACTCAGAGGACAAGTGCAGTTACGACAGAATTACATGCAAATGGCTGAGGACAGCTATTAGGACTTCAGATGAGGCGCCAACTACATCAGTGGGACTCCCTAGGGACTAACAGTGGGTTGGTGGGATGATCTCTTACAAAGCACAGGTCATTTTTATGAGTATGGAGAACAAAACCCAAAACATTTGCTGGTGCTGTACCAGAAGATACATTGGAGGGAACCTTCATCTGGCGATGGATGGAGATAGAGACAGAGACCCACATTGGAGCACTGGACTGAGCTCCCAAGGTCCAAAGGAGGGGCAGAACGAGGGAGAACATGAGCAAGGAAGTCAGGACCGTGAGGGGTGCGCCTACCCACTGAGACGGTGGGGCTGATCTAATGGGAACTCACCAAGGCCAGCTGGACTGGGACTGATGGAGCATTTGATCAAACTGGACTCTCTGAATGTGGCTGACAATGAGTGCTGACTGAGAAGCCAAGGACAAGGCACTGGGTTTTGATTCTACTGCATGTACTGGCTTTGTGGGAGCCTAGTCTGTTTGGATGCTCACCTTCCTAGACTTGGATGGAGGGGGGAGGACCTTGGACTTCCCACAGGGCAGGGACTGGAGAGGTGTAGGGCCCGGGTCTACCCTTGTTCTTGGGGTGCATCTTGAGGATAGTTTCTGGTCAGCTAACTAAAGCATTCTGTTTGTTCTGGTGCTCCTCTTGCCCCGCCTGGTGATTAGCTGTAGGGCATTGTTGACTCCATCTTCGGTAATTTCCCACCTGCCCGGGCGGACATCCTTGTGCAGCAGCAGCGAGGTGTGTAAGGATTTCCCCAAGGTTGAATAAATGGCATTTGGCTGATCTCCTTTCGAATGACCCAGGTCTCTGTGTGTTCTTTCAATCTCCAGGCCCTTGCACAACTCGTGCTTACTGTACCGAGGGGGTAACACAGAATCGGGTGTTAGAGAGGGAGGGGGAGGGAAATGGGAGGAGGTGGAAATTTTTAATTAAAAACAAATTGCTGGTTTGAGCCTGGTAAGGACTCCTCTTTCCTGAACATTTTACCCCCTCCTGCCAGTTAGCCAACAGCATCAGGTTGTCTAGTTCCCACAAACGGGATCTGCTGGGGAAGTTCTGCCATGAGCACAGCCACGGCAAGGGGATGCCGGGTGTGCGTGGAGCAACTGCAGCTTCCTGGTCCAACCTCTCGGGCCTGAGATTGGTCTCAAGAGCTATCCTGCTCCGCTCCAGCGCTGGCCACTGCAGCTTGGCTTTGCTGTGTGTGTCTGTTTCTCATTCCTGGCACCCCAGTCAGAGCAGTCCCTAAGTAATGCAAGTCAAGGCCAGAGACCCGGTCAGAACTTAGGTCAGGGACAAAAGGAGACAACCATTTTAATCAGTGCTTGCTAACTTGGTTTGGGTCTCAGCACACGCTTTTTGCAAAACAAATTACTTTGTTGTGCTTTTGCTTGTGTGTTCCTTTATGCAAGCAACACTGAGGTTATTCTTTGTTTCTAACACTGGGAAGCACTTCTACAACAGGGGTGGTACAGATCAATGGGGAAGCCCTGAGCTTCACACAGCTCAGCCCTGATCTTTTAATACAGCAATAATTGGTTATATGGGCTTTTGTCTATTCCAGTTTCAGTCTTTAAATGCTATATTTTTCTAAGTGTCTTAGGCCGAAGAGACGGCTGAGCAGTGAGGAACATGAAGTGCTGAAGTAGGAGCTCCAGCTTCAGGAGACCCAATGCCTCTGGCCATCACAGGTACCTGGACTCAAACCCACACACATGCAAACATATATGGGAAAATAACAATCACGAACCTTGAAAATACTTCTTAGGTCCTGGTATATTGTTGCTGTGGAATAATCCTTTTGTGCACTGTAAAGATTTGTCACTCCAACTGGTTTATTAAAAATCTGAGTGCCTGGTAGCCAGGCAAGAAGTATTGTCAGGACAACCAAATTAAGGATGCTGGGAGGAAGAAGGGCAAAGTCGGGAGTCACCACAGATGCAGAGAAGCAGGATGGACATGCTGTATTGAACTGAGAAAAAGTGCCAAGCCAAAAAAGCAAGGCATAAATAAAAATATGAGTTAATTTAGATATAAGAGTTAGATAGATAGCCTGAGTTATTGGCTGAACATTTATAATGAATATAAGCCTCAGTGTGTTTACTTGAGAGCTACTGGCAGGACAGAAACGTCTGCCTAAAATACGTATTCACAGTAACACCAAAGAAAGCAATGGGGAGAACTGACAGTTACTAATAAATGGAGAAATAATAGATTCAGAGCAAGGAAGATTATAGCGGGTGTGAGCGTCACAGCTTTGGAGCTGCGACGATAGCCTGACTTACGGAGAAGCCAGGCTGAATCTAGAGCTGCAGACACCTAAAGAGATTCTGTAGTGTGAGGCTGTAGCCCAGTGGGCAGGTCCCCAGCAGTACTGTGCACATATGGATACACCAGGAAATAGTTTAGCCACACAACTGGCCTCCCATTGTGAGAGCTGGAGTCTATGTGATGTTAGTGGATTAGTGGAGAAGACACAGAACTGCACCACAGAGTGCAGGCTCTCACAGAAAACCATCCAAATAAAGCACTGGCCCATCCAAGCCAGGAGGAGCTTCCTGGCTGCAAGCAGCTGCCTGCTGTGTGTAGTGCTCACGGCACCCTGGGAGTTAGCATTACTGTCACCACTAGACGAGGTGAAACAGAAATGCAAATGACTAATAAGCGGGAAATCTGGAAATATACTGAGTTCTCACTGGGCATGGTACATATATCCTCCACACTGGTGGAGGCAGGAGAATCCTGAGTTGCCTACATAGAAAGTTCTGGCACTCTGGGCTACATGAGATTTGGTTTCAAAAACGAAAAGAAATCAGTCTTTTGGGGCTAGTGAGATGGCAAAGTGTGTAATGGAATTTGCCACGTAACATGGCCACCCTGACAATGCTCAAACCTACATGTAGCGATATTTTGTTTGTATCTAACAGATAAAGCTTGCCTGAAGATCAGAGTGCAGGGCTAAGCCACTAGTTAGTTACAGAGGCCAGGCAGGGGCGGCACACACCTTTAATCCCAGCACTAGGGAGGGAATCAGGAGTGATGTGGCTAGGTGGAGAGAGGAATACAAGGCGGGAGGAGACAGGAACAGATGTAGACTCAGGTTTCGTAGATTCAGTCTGAGGATTCATAAAGACAAGATCACCCCCTTGGTCTGAATGCGCAGAGGTAAGAACTCTCTAGTGGTTGGCTACTCTGCTTCTCTGAGCTTTCAGCTTTAACCCTTATATCTAACTCTGGGTTTTTCCTTGTTTGTTTTTTCAAGATAGGGTTTCTCTGTGTATCTTTGACTGTCCTGGAACTCACTCTGTAGACCAGGCTGGCCTCTGCCCTCTGAGTGCTGGAATTAAAAACATGTGCCACCATGAACGCCTGACTCTGAGGTTTTACTAATATCAATCAGAATTCATGCTACAGCCACACACACATGGAAGGAGAGGACTAACTTCAAATAGCTGTCCTCAGGCCTCCACGCATGTGCTGTGGCGTGTGCACACATAATAATAAAAATGTAAACTGAGTCATTTCTTCCTGTAGTTCTTTGAAGGTGTGGACATAAATATAATTCTATCTGCGTTAGTGTTAACTTATATAGCATGTGCACCCACACACTGAGACAATGGGGATGTTTTATCGGGAACTCACCAAGGCCAGCTGGCCTAGGTCTGAAAAAGCATGGGATAAATCCGGACTAGCTGAACATAGCGGACAATGAGGAATACTGAGAACTCAAGAACAATCGCAGTGGGTTTTTGATCCTACTGCACGTACTGGCTTTGGGGGAGCCTAGGCAGTTTGAATGCTCACCTTACGAGACCTGGATAGAGGTGGGCGGTCCTTGGGCTTCCCACAGGACAGGGAACCCTGATTGCTCTTCGAGCAGATGAGGGAGGGGGACTTGATCGGGGGAGGGGGAGGGAAATGGGAAGCGGTTGCGGGGAGGAGGCAGAAATCCTTAATAAATAAATAAATTAAAAAAAAAAGAATAGCTTAGAATCTATTTGGGCGCAACTAAAAAAAAACAAAACAAAAACTTATATAGCATGGATGCTGTAGCAGGTGCTCAATTCTCTCAGGAACTTGTGGGAAGGGGCAAGCCACACCAAACCGTCCGAACGCTGCTGGGGCTACAGTGACATTGTACAGAATCAAGAAGGAAGAAGGAACAGGGAGTGAGAAGTTCCTGGAATAGTGGAACTGGGAAGTGATTCATGGTCTCCTGAACTAATTTATGCTCAGAAGACAATGAGCAATTTCTGTAGAACTGAGTTTCTTCAGATGCCGACAAACAGAACTGCAGAGAAATTCAATTTGCTTAGTGTGTGCGCGTTCCTTGTCACGACTCTAACACAGCACTTAGAGAGCACAGCTGCCTTTAATGAAGGGGTTCAGCATAGGGACAGCGGGATGTGGGCACTGTGGCCAGGCCGCCCCGCTTGCGCTAGGCGCTGGTGCTCACAGGGCAGCACAGAGCCGCTCCAGCTGCCCGGGGTTGCTGTTACTCAGGAACTTGAGCTCCTTCCTCCCTTCTTCCGTCGGAGCTGGAACAGTCAAACACACAAATGGCAGTTTTTTCCTACTCCAAACTGTAGCCAGGGCTTCCTGTTCAGCTCACCACCCCATCAACCCTGAGCTCTCGCCCCTCCACCTCCAGCTCACTACAATGCCACACTCTTATTTTCCACCTCCAGTTTCAGATTCTATTAGCTTAAACTTTGCTTTTGGTTGGGCTAGAGATCAAATCCAGGGCTTGGCACATGCTAGGCAGTGACTCTACAACCAGTTGTTTCTAAGCCAAGTCTTATGTTGCCAGTGTGACCTGGGACCACAGCAGGCATCACTGGCTCCCTGTTATTCAGGGATAAAGCAGTTTACTATCTCCATGACGAGAAGCAGACACACAAATACCTAGAATGCTCACAATGCAAGCTATCAAGTCTGCCATTAAGAGTCCAGAGCTTCCTCAGGAGGCAGAGGCAGGTGGATCTCTGTGAGTTCAAAGCCAGCCTGGTTTATAACAGCCAGTTCCAGGACAGGCTCCAAAGCTACAGAAAAACTCTGTCTCAAAAAACTTAAAAAGAGTTAAGAGCTTTTGAACCTAGGTGTGGATCTGTGCTGAGACTTCAGCTCAGGAGGCTCAGACAGTAGCCCAAACACAGACACACAGTGAGACATTGCCCTAAAAAACAAAAGAAAAAGGACAGAGATAGCAAAGATCTGGTTTGGTGATAACGTCTCAATTAGTATCACCCCTTCTGAGTGTCTCAGCACTGCTGTCTGATGTGAGCCGAGTGAGTGCTCCCCAGTGTGATGGCCACAGCACACCGAGTGAGTGCTCCCCAGTGTGATGGCTGCAGCACACCAAGTAAGTGCCCCACCGGTGTGATGGCTGCAGCCTAGACACATGGAAACTACCCAGGAGCTGGCCGGAAAATTGTTTCCTTCTTTAGCACCAATGCTTTGTTCTGAACAAGGTGAAAATTTAAGCAGAAATGTAATTTCTTTCTTTTCTTTTTTTTTTTTTGGTTTTTCGAGACAGGGTTTCTCTGTGGTTTTGGAGCCTGTCCTGGAACTAGCTCTCGTAGACCAGGCTGGTCTCAAACTCACAGAGATCCGCCTGCCTCTGCCTCCCAAGTGCTGGGATTAAAGGCGTGCGCCACCACCGCCCGGCTGTAATTTCTTTTGTAAATTAAAATGCAGCCACTTTCAAATAGTATTTTTGTATTCTCTTATTATATAGAAAAAGTCAAAAGGGAAAAAAAAGGAAATACAAAATATATAGGTCGCTGCTGAGGGTAAAGAGCAAGGCCTGGGGCTTGACTGGGTCACGCACTGAGTGCTTGGGCCCACAGCCAGTGGCTCAAGAACTTGTAGGATTAGGGGCTCAGCAGAAGGGAGCAGTTCTTTTCTCCAGGCCTTTCCTTTCTCTCTGCCTCTCTGTTTCCTGTCTGCACTGACATCAACACCCTCTGCTCCTACACAAGCAAGATCATGGAGCCAAGTGGTCACGGCTGACCCTTCTGAAGCTGAAGATTGAGCCCAAATAAGCTTCGGGTACCCAGGTCATGGTGATACCAAAACGCCCTGTGCACTGACTCAGCAGGCTGTGCAGTGAGCAGCGCGGCAGGAAGAGTGGACACACGACTGACCTTTCTCATGCTGAAGCCAATTATTTTCTAGATAGTACTGGAAAGAACTTTCAAATTCCTTTGGATTATAGTTGGAAATGAGGATGGGAAGAAAAGGATCTAAGGCATCAAATCCTTCCTGGAGAGGAAAAGGATGAAAGACACAGTGTTAGTCAAACGAGAAATGAGCTGAGACCACCTGTGCTGTGAGGACAGGGCCTTTCTTCCGTTCAACTCTACGCCCACTCGGCCTTCCTGCCTCACAGAGGATGGCTACATGTTGGCTAGTGACTTCTTATATCGCCTTTGTAAGTTTGAGGCCAGCCTGATCTAAACAGAGAGTTCCAGGACAGCTAGGGCTACACAGAGGGACCATGTCTCAAAACAACAAGATAAAATAAAAGAGAGACGTGGGGGCTGGAGACATGCTCGTCAGTTAAGAGAGCGTGGTACTGGAGAGCCACCATGTTTGAGTTCTGGCACCCACATGGTGGTACGCCCATCTGTAGTCCCCGTTCCAAGGGATCCAAGAGACACATGCATGCACTCAGACATATAAACTAAAATAAATAAATCTAAAAAATTAGGAGACATAAGATTGGCAAGATGCCTCAAAACATAAAGGCACTTTGCTAGCAAGCTTGATGATCAGTGTTAGCGGCCCAGAACCCGCACTATAGAAGAGACGGATTCCTGCAAACTATACTCTGACTTCCACACGTGTGCCATAGCATGTGAACCCACCCCCAAAATAAAAAATAAGAGACAGTCTCTAGAGCAGTGCTTCTTAACCTTCCCAATGCCACTACCTTAAATTGTGGTGACCCCAACCAGAAAATTACTTCTGTTGCTGCTTCATAACTGTAATCTTCCTATTGCTACAGATGACAATGTAAATATCTGATATGCAACCCCAAAAAGGTAGAGACCCATAGGTTGAGAATTCTTGCTCTAGACAGATGGTTACTCTAATGGAAACGGGGAAACGTGACCTTTCCCAGAAGCTCGTGCGGCAAATATGCGGCTCGGGACATAAAGAGCGACCCGGTTTGGCTCAAACTCAGCACAATTGCACCTCCATGCTGAAAAAAAGACAAATAGTTGAATTTTATAAAGATGGAAATGACACGCCTTTAATCCCAGCACTTGGGAGGCAGAGGCAGGCGGATCTCTGTGAGTTCGAAATCAGCCTGGTCTACAAGAGCTAGTTCCAGGACAGGCTCCAAAACCACAGAGAAACCCTGTCTCGAAAAACCAAAAAAAAAAAAAAAGATGGAAATGACAGACACTCATCAGTCCTCTGTAGGTGACCCTAGAGTGTCACGACAGCACAGCTCAGCATGATCAACTGCAACAAATCAGTTACTGCTTCTTGCTTTGGCTCTGACACTAAGTCACTACAAGACCTTAAGGTTACCACAGTACACTTCTGCTTGTCAAGTTCTTCTGCAATGCCACAAGCCTACCACTTTAAGCAATTGAATGAAGCAGAGGAATGGAAAGTGGCGGCAGAGTGAGTTGTAAGGTGGCCTGAGCTACAAAATGAATCATATCTAGCTGTCTGTGGGCTTGGTGGTTCATGTCTTAACTTCCAGCACCCAGGAGGCAGAGCACTGTGTGTTCCAGGTCAGCCAGGACTATACAGTGAGACCCAGCCTGAAATAAAAATTATAGTATCTTTAAAAAAAATTATAGTATTTTTTGTAAAGACAGGGTTTATCTGTGTAACAGTCCTATCTGTCCTGGAACTCACTTGATAGTGAGTTTGAGGCCAACCTGGTCTGAGATCCGCCTGCCTCTGCCTCCCAAGTGCAGGGATTAAAGGCATGTGCCACCACTGCTGGCAAAATTTTAATGTCTTAAAAAACAAACAAACAAACAAAAAAGAGACAGACAGACACACACCAGTGAGGAGGCTCAGTAGTAAAGGAACTTTCTACAGGGTCACTCTACACAACTACGAACAGTAAGACAGAAGAACAATAAAGCCGGCAGCACACTTTCCTCTGCGCATCTTGAGAATCTGGGGCACTTACCCAATCATTTTTCACCATTTTCCTTAGGCTGTGGACCAGGGATAGTTCCTCCGGGGCAATCTACATGTTGCCAACAAGAGAGCAAAGACATTAGGACTTTACTTTTCTGGCTGTTTCCTGAGAAAATTGAACGGACAATTAGATAAAAGGTCAAGTTTGTTGTTGTTGTTTTTTTTTTTTTTTTTTTTTTTTTTGAGTCAGGGTTTCTCTGTGGCTTTGGAGCCTGTCCTGAAACTAGCTCTTGTAGACCAGGCTGGTCTCAAACTCACAGAGATCCGCCTGCCTCTGCCTCCCGACTGTTGGGATCAAAGGCGTGCGCCACCACCGCCTGGCTAAATGAAAAGTTTTTAACTACTGTAACCACAGTACGAGAATATTCTTCCTCTGGAGTAAGAGAGGAAGAGGCAGGCAGGAGGAAAGAGGATGACTGTCTCAAGTGCACCTTCCTCCCTTCATATTTCTGATCTCTACATGGAAAATAGCAGAACCAAGGAAGAAAGCAAAGCTCCTGGGGCTCCTGCTGTCCTGTTCTTTCCAACATGTTCCCTTGGCTTGCAATGCACGATGGAGCATGTAACATCATGTGCTGGGTAATCTTCTGTCAACTGGGAGATACTGCCATCAGACTGGCCCAGCGACAGCCCGTAGGGAGATACTGCCATCAGACTTGCGACAGCCCGTAGGGAGATACTGCCATCAGACTTGCGACAGCCCGTAGGGAGATACTGCCATCAGACTTGCCCAGCGACAGCCTGTAGGACATTTTCTTGATTACTGATTGATGTGGGAGAGGGAGGGCAGCCCACTGTGGGTGGTGCCATCTATGGACAGGTGTAAAGAAAACAAACTGAACTGGGTGGTGGTGACCCACAATCCTTAATCCCAGCAGTCAGGGAGGCAGAGGCAGGTGGATTATTCTGAGGCCAGCCTAGTCTACAGAGTGAGTTCCAGGACCGGCTCCCTAGCCACTTGGAAACCCTCTCAGAAAACAAAAAAAGAAAAACTGAGTAAGCAAGGAGGAGCAAGCTGTTAAGTATCACTCCTCCGTGTCCTCTCTTCCTCAGTGGACGACTGCCATATGGATCTGACCTTTCATCCACGAGTTGCTTTGGGTCATGGCGCTTCATCACAGCACACAAGGCCTACTAAGCCGGGCGGTGGCAGCGCACGCCTCTAATCCCAGCACTCTGGAGGCAGAGGCAGGCGGAGTTCAAAGCCAGTCTGGCCTACAAAGCTAGTTCTAGGACAGGCTCCAAAACTACAGAGAAACTCTGTCTCGGAGAAAAAAAAGAGAGAAACCTTGTCTCAGAAAACAAACAACAACAACAAAAAAGCATGCCAACTAAGACTTATCTTTCCTACTTTCTTTTTTTGGTTTTTCAAGACAGTTTCTTTGTGTAGCTCTGGAGCCTGTTCTGGGGTTAAAGGTGTGCGCCACCACTGCCCAGCTGACACATCTTCGTTTCTCTTTTGAAGCTAATTCACTGTCTTCCTCCCCCTTTTTTATAGTGTAGAGATTGGAGTCTGTGGCCATTTAGGCACTGGGCATGCATGTGCTCACCATAGAGCTACTGCTGGCTTGTTTCCAGTTATCTTTTGTTGTTTTTAAAGATTTAGTTTCTTTATTTTTATTTTTTTAATCTTTTATTGAGACAGAGTTTCTCAGTAGCTATGGAGCCAGTCCTGGAACTTGCTCTGAAGACTAGGTTCGTTTCCAACTCACAGAGATCCACCTGCCTCTGCCTCCTGAGTGCTGAGATTAAAGGCGTGCGCCACCACCACCCAGCAAGCTTTATTTTTATGTTATATTTTCCCTAACTGTGTGTACGTCTACTGCATGAGTGCTTGGTCCAGAGTTATGGATGGTTCTGGACTGCCATCTGGAGACCAGGAACCAACCTGGGTCCTCAACAAGGACCCAACGCAGCTGTTGTTCCAGTTCCAAATGTAATTTAAACTCCAGGGCAAAAAAGCATCCTAATGTGGCCCACCCAGGAAAGTAGCAGGCCTTGTGTGTGACAGAATCAGAGCAAACAAATATTCCTACCAGGGTCCTGTCTTCTCTTTTCAGTGTGGTCCTTCCCCAGAGGGCATTGACCCCATCCACTGCTACCAGGAGGCGGAAGTGTCCTTCGGAACTCTGGCTCCTAAGCTCCTTCAGCACGATCCCGACGGCGTCTGTGGCATTCCTCACGCGTGTTATGCCCTGTTCAACAACTTCTCCCAGAGGACTGCCCTTCTCAGTTCTTTCTCTCTTGTTCCAAACGTACTTCCCCTGAACTTTTATCTAAAGGTAGGCAGAGAAAGAAATGAAAGAAGCTGAAGCCTTTCCTGTCAGGATGGAGGCCCACGGGACTCAGCTGAACCACAAGGGGGTGCAATGTGGAAATCAGACCTCTAAACGCTAAGGCTGTCACACAGAGAAACCCTGTCTCGAAAACAAAAACAGTGACCCTGTCTCAGATTTCTCTGTGCTGGGAATAAAGGTGTGAACTGCCACACCTGGCCCTTCTGGCTAAAAGGTCCAAACATCATCCTGCACACCCCATAGTGCTCATCAAATCCCAAGCTTCAAGCATACTAGGTAAGTGCTCTTTACTGACCTATACCAAGCCTTGGCATTCTCATTTTCCTTATTTCCTTTGTTGTTGTTGTTGTTGTTTTATAACAGGGTTTCCTTGTGTAGCCCAGGCTCTCCTGGAACTAGCCCTGTAGACCAGGCTGCCTCTGCCTCTAAGTGTGTGATGAAAGGCCTGAGCTACCACCACCTAGCTGGCATTCACATTCCCTAATACCTTTATTTACTTGTGCATGTGACCATGCATGCATCCAAGTATACAAAGTTAGCTTGCTTTCCCATCAGGTTGAGAGGCACAGCGGCGAGTGCGCCATCTGCTGAGCTCACCCTGTCAATGCACTCTTGCCGCAGATAGACTGTACAGTGGGGAAGCCCCAGTTAGAGCTCAATCTAAGATGCCAGAGGGCTGGGTATTATGCATTCTGGGGTGAGGCAGAAGGATTGTAAATTCAAGGTCACCTTGGGGTACGTAGTAGGCCCAGAGCCAGTCCAAACTACAAAGGAAACGAAACAAAACAAAATAAGACTGGAATGAAATCTTAGTTTGACGTTTTTGGTTTATGTGGAGGAAAACCCTACTGCTGGCCATGTGCTTGTGGAGGATTAAGTTCCCCCAGAGAGAGTGATATTTATCAGGCACTCAATGGACAGCTTATAGCTGTTGTGAGTCCACTGTGAGCTAAAATGTTAAAGGGATACAAAATGGCTTATTTATTATTAATTGCAATGTCAAGTCTCCATAGCACCCAGCTACTCAAGGTGCAAAGATGGAATCTGGACAAAGATCATCCTGTACTGAATTCCTAGCATGCAGTCACCTGGCTCAGGAAGCGCTTATTGGTGGTTTTGAAGTTCTTCAGCCAGGTGGATGCCTCTAGGGGCTGATCGAAGCGCTCTTTGTTGTAGGTGGACTGCAGAAGCTCCCGGCAGTTCTTCACCCAAAGATGAGCTTTTTTTTTTAAAAAAAAAAAAAGCGTAAAAGTGAGGCAACCAAGACACAGAAAGACAAACACAGCGTAAGTGGATATTAGACATAGGATAAAGGATAACCAGCCTACAGTCCACAACCCCAGAGAAGCCAGGAAACAAGGAGAACCCTAAGAGAGATAGATATGGATCCCCTGGGAAGGGCAAATAGAAAAGATCTCTTTAGTAAATTGGCAGTGTGGGGGAAAGGTAGTAGGAGACAGGGAGGAGGACATGAGGGATTGGGAAGATTGAGCTGGTAAAGGGCAGAGAAGGAGGGCAAGGAAAGAGATGTCTTGATTGAGGGAGCCATTGTAGGGTTAGCGAGAAACCAGATACTAGGGAAGCTCCCAGGAATCCACTAGGTTGGCTCCAGCTAAGAATCTAAGCAGTACGGAGAGGGGATCTAAAATGCCCTGCCCCTGTAATCAGATTGATGACTACCCTAACTGTCATCCAGAACCTTCATCCAGTAACTGATGGAAACAGATGAAAAGATCCCCAGCTAAGCCTCCTCGAGTCTAGTCACAAGGAGGAGCGATAATATGAGCATGATGGGGAAACATAGAAACAATAACCCGAGCCAGTGGGTGCTCACCAACTCTGGACTGACAGCAGGTCGACCAGCGTAAAAGACGAACTAGGCCCTCTGCATGTGGGGGACAGTTGTGGGCCACTAGCAGTGGAACCAGGATTTATCCCCAGTATATGATCTGGCTTTTTGGAAGCCTCTCTGCCTAGCTAAGATACAGGGGAGAGGACCGTGGTTCCTGCCTCAAGTGATGACAGACTTTGCAGACTTATTTAAAAAGAAAAAATTAAATTAAAAATAAGTAAATAAAAATTGGTAGTGAGTCAACATGACAGTTCACTCAATATCTTATATTCTGATTATAATGCAATGCTCAAAGATCAAGAACATAAAGGATCAGTCCCCAGTACCATCACACACAAGAAATATGTCCATATCGTATTTTGATAGTGTTTCTCTAATTTGAAGAGTCATGCACAGGACTGGAGAGATGACACAATGCCTAGGAGCACTGGCTGCGCTTGCATGGAACCCAGGTTCAGTTCGCAGCACCCACACAGCTTCCTCTGCATAGCCTAGCAGGCAGACCTGGAACTCAGCATGTAGACTAGGCTGGTCTCAAACTCACTTCTGCATCCCAACTGCTAAGATTAAAGGCATGTGCCACTACCACCCAGAATACTGTCTTTTTCTTTGTTTTTTTGAGACAGGGTTTCTCTGACAGTCCTAGCTGTCCTACCCACTTTGTAGGCCAGGCCAGGCTGGCCTTGAGCTCCCAGAGACCCGCCACTCTGCCCCCAAGTGTGGGAATTGGGATGTGCCTCCGCCTGGCAGGACTGCTGCCAATTTTTAAAGGCAGATTAGAAAGTGTGGGTTCACCGACAATGGACAAGAGACGGCAGATGCCAGTGCGTGGGTTCAGATCCACAATGAAGAACTCCGACTCAGTGTGCAGGACTGCACAGGCTCTGCAGAGACTCAAAACAGTAACTGACAGGACAAAAAGTGGTATGTGGTTGTAGCCGGCTCTTGGGACAGGGAGTCAGGAGGGGTTTGTTTCAGCTCAAGAATTCAGAGTTATTATGGGTACTACAGCATGGCCATGATCTCTTAGGCAGTCATAGAGAAGATACACAGGAAGTTCGTACCATCCGGGATATGCAGAACCAGCCAGTCATGTTTTGCACAGAAATGAACAGCATGGCAAAGACTGAGAGTTTTTCCTGTTCCCTTCTCCCCATCTAAAGCGTGTGTTAAAGAAAACATCGTCATGCAGGGCGATGGTGGCGCACGCCTTTAATCCCAGCACTCGGGAGGCAGAGGCAGGCGGATCTCTGTGAGTTCGAGACCAGCCTGGTCTACAGAGCTAGTGCCAGGACAGGCTCCAAAGCCACATAGAAACCCTGTCTCGAAAAACCAAAAAAAAAAAAAAAAAAAAAAAAAAAAAAAAAAAAAAAAAAAAGAAACCCTGTCTCGAAAAACCAAAAAAAAAAAAAAAAAAAAAAAAAAAAAAAAAAAAAAAGAAAACATCGTCATGAGCAAGGCATTCCCCACCCATAGCGTTTCACACCAGGTGTGGTGGTGCATTCGGTCATCACAGCACTCAGCAGCAACAGCGCAGGCAGATCTGCAGGAGTGTGGCCAGCCACTGATATACAGCAAGACCTTGTTCCAAACCCAGCATCTCCTTCTCCCAAAGGAGGGGAGAATGTACGAGGACCCAGGCATGTCGGAAAGGATACAGAGAAGATACCGCACAGCGGGGTGAGTGAACTTGGTATTTTTCAGGTAGCCCAGAAGCTCTAGAGCTGGCTTCCTTACCATCAGACAAGCTTCGCCAAAAGTCTTCACCTAGGCAAAAAGGAGGAGGAGGAAGATGGGTGTGAAATTCTAGCCATTCTAACCATGTGCATACTGAGACTGACACCACACACCACCGCTCATCCAAATGCAGCTATGAGAGGCTGGGTTGGCACTGAATTTGAAATCAATCCATGTATTTTAGCTAAAGTCTGAGGTACATTGTTTCATATCAAGTAACATAAAAAGGTAGCTTTTGATGATTATTTAAAAAAATTATTTATTTATGTATTTTATGTATATGAATGTTCTACTTGCACGAATGACAGAAGGCACCAGATCTCATTACAGATGGTTGTGAGCCACCACGTAGATCCTGGGAATTGAACTCTTAACTGCTGAGCATCTCCTGCCTGATGCTTCTTCTTTCCATGCACTTATTTTGTGAGGATGGGGACAGAAATTCAGCTATGGACTAGCGAACACTACAGTTACTACTGTTTACCTTTTGTTAGCCCCTTAAGTACACTGTAGAACTAGGCAAATATTCTTTTATAAGCAGTACCCTGCACTTACCATATACATACATTTTTTTGTTTTTCTCTTGCTTTTTTACCATAACACAAGATCTCATGCACAGAGTGAGGACCCTGAAGATCATTCAGCTTCTTCCTCGGAGAGCACTAGGCTGGCAGGTCTGGGCCAGCACAGACAAGGGTTTGCACTGGGACCTCATACTGTAGCCCAGGCTGGCCTATTACTTGAAGCAAGTCTTCTCCTGATGATTCTCAAGTGCTGGGATTACAGTTATGTGCCAAAATACCTACATTAAATTCACTTAAAATAATCACCTGAATGCCACGATTCCAGGAATCCTGCTCAGAAATTCACAGAAAAGGGTACTGCAATGTACTTAAGTGGCTAACAAAAGGTAAACAGTAGTAACTGTAGTGTTCACTAGTCCATAGCTGAATTTCTGTCCTTCAGAAATGTCTAAGTTTCTATGTCTCTCATTTAATCCTTTCCCTGACAACTGCCCACTGTACTTTGGGCTTCTCTGTTCTGGTCTCTGTATGAGCACCTACCTGCATCATGTACCTAGGAGGCAGGCCATGAGGAAATACTGTCTTCAGATCCTGGAAGGGGATGCTATAGTACTGGCCCTCATGCTGCTCCCCATGCTTAGCCTGGAAACACAAAGGAACAGGGGCAGGAGGTCAGGGAGTGACACGGACTTTGAAAAGAAGGTAGGCTGGGCGTGCCGTCCTAGCACTTGAAGGCTGGAACAGAATTATCTTAAATTCCAGGCAATCTAGGCTATAGAGACCATACCTCAAAAAAAAAAAACAAAAAACAAAAAAAAAACAAAAACAAAACAACCACAAAAACAAAAAAATCCACAAACCAAAACAAACTAAAAATTCCAACAAAAAAACAAAAAACCACAATAACCAAAAAACAAAACAAAACCTGAAATCAAAACAAGCCTAAAAATAAGCTAACCACCACAAAGAGCAGCGACTCCTGCCAGGCCACACAGGGGCAAACAGCAACATCTCAGAGGGGGGGGGGGGGGGGAAGGATTTCTTTTAGAATAAGCCCAGGCTGGCCTTGAACGTTCTGCTGTAGCTGCCTGACTGCTGGAATTACATAGTGTGCCACTTGTATTTCAACTGAAAACACAGGCTGCTGAGACAGCAACATGGCTCAGGGAGTAAACACACTTGCTCCAAGCTTGATAACCTGAGGTCCAAACAGGAACCACATGGTGGAAGGAGAGCAATCCCCAAAAGTTGTTCTGTGATCTCTATATGACACAGGCATAAATCCATTCCCACAATAAATACATCTAATGAAGTGTTGCTATCACCAAATCCAGTGTATGTTATCATATAAATTTGATGGCCTGACTAATAAAAGTTAGTTGTTCAGCAATTATTGATGGGGACCAACATGATTTCTGCCACCTGGATTCTTTCATGCTATGAAGGGATGCTTCAGACATGTGGTAAGATCATCTGCATGATGCTGTTTCCATAGAAACCCTAAAAGACTTGAAAAATAGCAGTGAAAGACACTTTAGAGTGACTTCATTAATTTATTCTATTTCATTTTGCATCTGTGAGAACAAGTGAAGGTTAACTACAAATTCTAAACATACCCTGATAAAATTATGTTTTGGTAGAGGTATATCTTTTTAAATTTCAACCATCATATTAAGATGGGAAGAATCAGATTGGGAGAAACACACACAAAAGCTGATGGTTTCCTTCACATTAAAGAAAGCACGGCCTGCACTGACTTCATTTTTAAGAGATGGTTCAACACTGGCACAGAGAAGAGTCAGGACCCAGGCTATCAGGCTGTGAATCAGAACGAGGAGCACCACGGCCGCCAGACGCCAGGAAAGGAAAATGTCAGCTCTGGTGAGCTTCTGGACACCAGTACAGGACAAATCCTGGGTCCTCAGCACACTACTCAAGGGTTATCCCGCTGCGCTTACCATAGCGAAGATTCTACTGCAACATAACCACAACAACTTTGAAGTTTAAAATACACACCAAATGGTCATTAAAGGAAAGCTGCCCCAACTAAAAGATAAATAATTAGTGCCAAAATTATTTCAGAATGAATTGGATTTAGGCAATTTTTGTTTGTTTGTTTTGAGACAGGCTGGACTTGAGCTCAACAGAAATCCCCTTGCCTCTGCTGGGATTAAAGGCGGATTAAAGGTGTGCACCACTATGCCCAGCTAAATTAGCCAATTCTTAATTCAGCAAGATTCATGGCACCAGGTGAATTCATTGTTAAGATCACATTAGAGGACCAGTTAGTGCTGGTGCACACCTTTAATCCCAGCACTTGGGAGGCAGAGACAAGTGGATCTCTGTGAGTCCAAGGCCAGCCTGCTCTACAGAGTGAGTTCCAGGACAGTCAGGACTGTTACATAGAGAAACCATCTTGAAAAACAAACCAAACCAACTAAACAAACAAACAAATCACATTAGAAGAAACTTGGACTAACTTTGTACTTTCTCTTTCCCCAGCACTGCAGGTTGAGTGACTCGCCCGGGCCATCACCTGAAAGTATGAGAACCAGTTTGCTGATGTGGAAAAGGAGTCCACGGCAACGCAGGATATAATCTCTGGAGCCCCCCCACAACTTACCGGGTCACTGTCACTGGTACGGGAAACAGGTCTGGGACGCTCAGCTGGAACTGGATTGCTCTGAGGTGCTTGGGCACTCACGTGTAAAAAACACCTCAGGTCCAACTACAAAAGGAAAGTTTTTAGTGTCCTAGAGTCATGAGGTTTTTAGATGCTTGTTGTCACACTGAGGAGTCAAGCAATGTCTCTAAACATGACATTAAATACATTTTAGTTCTATACAAAATGGATCCTAATAATTCAGTAAATCCAGTCACAGTATTATCCATTTGGTCTGTCTCAGCACATACATTGCTAGGCTAGGGCTCTGTCCTACATGGAAACAAAGATTTCTGTCCCACTGTTCAGGAGTTCAGGGCAGCTACTGATAAGCTAAAATAACTCGGTTTTTGTTTTGGGGAGATGGTGGTCCCAGACCACACTCGCCCCTAGTTTATCACACGCCTGTCTCAGTTTCCCCAGTACTGAGCCTAACCAGCTCTCCTAGTCACACTTACTATTTTGAGTTGAGGTCTTGCTTACCTGCCTGGGCAAGCCTTGCATTCTGGGCCCAGGGACTGCTCTATCTCAGCATTCTGAGAAGCTAGGAACACAAGGTAGGTGTAACCAGGTGCTCAGTTCAGGAAATTTGTGTAATTCACTTGCACCGTGATGCATGATTCCTAATACTGGAACATTCTGAGGCATAAGAAATGAACCCTCAACCAGTGTGCGTCAGTGTGGAGGGTGGTAAGCTCCCCTAGAAGGTTCTTGCTCACTCACAGGATGTATCTGGCACTGAACTCAGAGGTCTGGCTGCCTCTGCCTTCCGAATGCAGGGGTTAAGTTATACCCTCTTTCCTTTCTTTCTGACAGAGTCTGGCCTTCAACTCTAAAGGTCTGGCTGCCTCTGCCCCAGTGCTGCGAGTAAAGGCGTGTGCCGTACCTGCCGGTAATGATGGCCCACAAACTAACAACCTTCATTAGTGACATGGAATTGAGGGACTATGTAGTGTCCAGCTAAGCAAAAAGCTAAGTGAACCACACTCAGGAACTCACAGAATGGTGGTAGAGAAACGAATGGGATCCTTGGAGACAAATACAGGAAAGCCCTAGGGAAATCTCAATGCATGGCACATGGGGACGCATGTCTATAAACCAGCATTCAGTAGGGCCAGGAGCCCAAGTCCAGTGCGGGCTGGATGAGATGCTTCCAAAGAAAAGAGTCCCCGAGCCTTACAAAGGCATGAAATGATTCCAGGTATGAGATTAGGATATGAATTCAAGAGGAACAGAAAAGGGAATTTGAGTGTATAGCCGGGGGAGATGCCTTATAAGTCCCAGCAACTTCCAGAGTGTAGTGACAGATGTGGCCTGAGAGCTGTGAGCTGGAGTAAATCCTCCCCCTCCCCAGACTGGTTTTGGGCAGGTGTTTAATCACTGTCTGAAAAATCCTACTGAAGATCACAACCAAGCTTCATTTCAAAATCTCTATTCCTTTTGTCATCTTTTGTTTTCAATAAAGTTTTCTTTTACTTTTTAGACAGGGTCTCATTCCTAGGTGTCCTGGAACTGCAGATTAGGCTAGCCTTCAATTCACATAAATCCAACTGTCTGTTCCCCATCTTGTGGGGCCCAGGGATTGGACGCAGGTTGTCAAATGAAGTGGTATTTCATTTGTATTTTAACACATAAAGCGTGCTGGAAGAACAAAAAGTAGAACAGCCACACTGGCCAGCTTTACAGACCAGGCAGCTATGACACACACCTTTACTTCCAGTAGCCACATTAGTTGCCATAGAAACCAGGGATTAGTGGTACACACCTTTAATCCCAGAACGAGAGAAGATTATAAAACAGGAGGAGGCAGCTCTCAGTCTCATTCTGAGATTCTGAGAGGCAGTATCGCCATGAGGTCGAGGTAAGAGCCAGTGGCTGGCTGTTTTGCTTTTCTGACCTTCAGGTTGAACCCCAATATCTGTCTCTGGGTTTTTATTATTTTTGTGCTTCAGTAGAGCTTAGTGTCTCAAGCTTTCAATGTTCTGGACTCAGCATTTCAGTGCAGGGATTACAGGCATGCACACCACATCTGGCACGTCCCTGGGATTGCAGGCATGCACACCACATCTGGCACGTCTCTGGGATTGCAGGCATGCACATCACATCTGGCACAGATTCCCAGAGTCCACATAAAAGTGAAAGAACTCATCGTCTTCATTTCCACAGATACAACCCTCTATATACATCATATACATCAATAATAAATACATTTTTAAAAACGTAGAAAACTTCCAGGCAGTGGTGATGCAAGCCTTTGGGAAGCCGAGCAGGTGAACTAATGTGACTTCCAAGACAGCCAGGACAAAGAAACTCTGTCCTGAAAACAAAACCAAAACCAAAATCAAACAAGTAGGCTAGGGAGCTGGGGACATGGCTCGGTGGTTGAAAGCACCAGCAGCTCTTCCAGAAGACTCTGGTTTATTCCCGCACTCACATGGTAGCTCACGACACCTGGAACTCTGGTCCCAGGTGATCTGCATCCTCTCTGGCCTCCACAGGCATCAGGAATGCACAAATGCATAGATACACATGCAGACAAACAAGTAGACACGTAAAAGTAACTAAAACATTCCAGCGCCACAAGGTGGCGCTATTTCTACAGTACTCTGATGACTTCTTAGGTAGTTTTCTTCTTCAGTAAATAAGAAGCTAACAAAATGGATTCCTTATGTCTTAAAGAGTTTCTTGAGTCGGGCGGTGGTGGCGCACACCATTAATCCCAGCACTCAGGAGGCAGAGGAAGGTGGATCTCTATGAGTGTGAGGCCAGCCTGGGCTACAGAGCTAGTTCCAGGACAGGCTCCAAAGCTACAGAGAAACCCTGTCTCTCGAAAAACCAAACCAAGCTGGGCGATGGTGACGCAAGCCTTTAATCCCAGCACTCGGGAGGCAGAGGCAGGCGGATCTCTGGGAGTTCGAGACCAGCCTGGTCTACAGAGCTAGTTCCAGGACAGGCTTCAAAGCCACAGAGAAACCCTGTCTCGAAAAACAAAAAAAGTTTTTTTTTAAAAGCCTCATTTCTAGGAAAACAAACCTATGTAGAATTCCTTCTGCTTAGTTCCAGAATGGACTTCATACAGTTCCCCAATTACCAGGAAGTCAAACCAGGTCATCCTGAGCCAAACAAAAAACATATACATTTATATATATATAATTTTTATGTGTATGGATGTCTGTGCACCACATATGTCCAATGGTGCCCTCAGAGGACAAAGTGCAAAGGGGTCACCTGGAACTGGAGTTATAGGTGATTGGAGCCGCCGAGTCAGTGCTGGGGATCAGATAAGCATCTTTAGCCAGTGTTTTTTTTACCACTGAGCCAGCTCTCCAATTATACCCCCTTTTTGAGACAGGTTCTTACTATGTAACTCTAGCTGACATGGAACTCACTATGTAAGCCATACTGACCTTAAATTCAGATGTTTGCCATCTCTTCTCCCTGCCCACTGAGATGAAATGCATGCATCACCACACCTGGCCCTTATTTTTTTCTTTCATGTGCATTTTGCCTGCATCTGTGTGTGCCTCATGCTTAAGACCAGAAGAGGACACCTGATCCTCTGGAACTGAAGTCACAGGGCCTCTGCAAGAGCAGCAAGACTTCTTACCTACCAAGCCAACTTTCTTGCCCCAAATGTGTTTTCTTTTGTAATTTTTTTTGTTTTGTTTTGATTCTCTAAAATGGATAGAGACTTTTTATAAATCCCAGGGTAGGAGCTGGGAAAAAAAAAAAACAGAAAGAAAACAAACACCTTCCAATCCCAAAGATGTACAAGGAGAATGTAAACACCTCCTTCCAATCCCAAAGATGTACAAGGAGAACGTTCCTCTGTTGCAACTGACCCTTCTTCTAGGTCTCATCCTGAGGGTTTCTGGCTCTCAAGCAACCAAGGCTGAGTGATACTCATAAGTGCTGCCTAAGAACCAGACAGCCAATGTAGTCATGTATCTATGACTACTGAACTGTATGCTTCTGAGGAACATGGAAAGCATGTCATATGTGCACTGGAATGTTTGTTTACACTGTAAGTGTGTCTCTGCCTAAGGAGCCTTCTGATTGCTTTAATAACAGCTAAATGGCCAATAGCTAGGCAGGAGAGAATAGGCAGGACTTCCAGGCAGAGACAGAAAGACAAACTGAGAGGGGGAATCTAGGTGTACGATTTTGACACAGGACATATGTTGTGTTTTACTAAGACAAGGTAATCAAGCCATGTGGCAGAACGTAGGTTTAAAAAAATATGGGTAAATTAAGTTATAAGAGCTAGCTGAGAAAAAGCCTAAGGAAGGTCAAGCTTTCATAATTAATAAGTCTCCAGGTATTATTGCAGGATGGTGATCCAAAAATAGTCCGACAAGAAAGCTTGCGACAGTTAGGTCATCGGCTCTAAAGTCCACCAGCTAGCATCTACACTGGCTTTACAGCTTCATGGCCTGTCTTCTTAATAGGTTATTTATCCATTCTAATTCATAATTTCCGCAACTTTAAAACAAGGATATTATATTGTCATAAAGATCAAGAAATAAAGCACACGCGCATGCATGCGCAGACACACACACACACACACACACACACACACACACACCCCTTTAATCCCAGCATTTGGCAAAAGCAGGCAGATTCTTATGAGTTCTAGGACAGCTGAGGCAACACAGTGAGATCGTGTTTAAAAAAACAAATATAAGCCAGGCAGCGGTAGTGCACGCTTTTTTCCAGTATTTTGGAAGCAGAAGCAGGTGTATCTCTGTGAATTTGAGGCCAGCCTGGTCCAAAATAGTTCCAGGACAGCCAGGACTGTTACACAAAGAAACCCTGTCTCAAGACAGACGTAGAAAGAGACGCGGAGACACTGCGGTCTTCCTCCCTATCCTTGTCACACGCACTTCTGTAGACCAATAGTATTTAACGCCTACATTTATATAAACTAACAAACACACAACAAATATTTGGTAAATAATTAAAGAGAATAAAACAAACCAGTAAGATAACATCTTCCCCTCTAAGCAGACAGGTCAGCCTTGACCCTTCTATCTTAGTCTCCCAAGCGCTTCTATAGACTGTGACACCATGTCCAATGTAGGACTGTCAGGATATATTTTTGTGCTTTTATGTGTGTCTGCTTCAGTGTATGTGCGTGCGTGTGTGTGTGTGTGTGTGTAGGTCAGAAAAAAAGTGCTAGATTCATTCCCCTTAGACCTGAGGTTCTAAGTGTTTGCTCCACAGATGCTGGGGATCCGAACTCGAATCCCTGCGTTTGTTCAGTGTGAGCTCCTAACTCACGAGTCATCTCTGTCCCTATCTCTTTTGAAGGGTAGGATGAGGAGGGCTGGCAGGGTCTCATGTATTCTAGGCTAGACTCAAGTGTGTTACACAACTGAAAATGACCTTGAGTGTCTGATCCTCCTGCCTCCACCTCCAAAGTTTGGATTGCTGATTTCTACTTCTTCAGTTCATGTGGTACTGGAACTCAAACCCAGGACTTCTGGGATATGAGTCAAGTCCTCTACCGAGTTACATTTCCAGTACAAATGCAGGGCTATCTTGTCCTTCCTTCCCGTATGTCATGTCTGAATTGTCATGTACATGCACGTCTGGAGACGAGGGGCTGATCTCAACTGTTTCCCTTGATTTCTGTCTACCTTGTTATTTTATTTATCTATTTATTTTTGAGGCAGGGTCTTTGAATGGATCTGAAACTTACCAATTTAGCTAGGCCAGCCAGCCCACCCGCCATGCACTGCAAGGGTCTACCTATGTCCATCCTGCCAGTTCTGAGGTTACACACCCACCCCAGCTTTCACTTGAGAGCTGCACGCAGGTCCTCACTCTTGCCTGCCACTACCACTTTACTAACCAAACTATCTGCCCAGTCTCCAGAGACAGCCTTTTTAATATATGATTTTATTCTATTATCAAAAATGTAATGTCAAAAAGCCAACTTGCTTTCCTTTTAAACAGTTCACGTTTACAAAACTTTTAAAATGATAATTACCCTACCACATGTTATCTCAAGCACACTATTTTTTTTTTTTTTTTATTTTTTTGATTTTTCGAGACAGGGTTTCTCCGTAGCTTTTGGTTCCTGTCCTGGAACTAGCTCTTGTAGACCAGGCTGGCCTCGAACTCACAGAGATCCGCCTGCCTCTGCCTCCCGATTGCTGGGATTAAAGGCGTGCGCCACCACTGCCCGGCTCACATGGTTTCATCTTTAGCCTCAGGCCTGACACTTTTTCCCCCTGATGTTTTCTCACTTAGAACATTCTCCTTGGTTAAATAGACACTCCAGTTGGTCTCAATATAGAAAGGGCTCAGTAAATGCTACTTTCTTACTTTTTGAAAGAATAGTTTATTAATTGAACTGCTCAGGAGAGTGGGTTGGAGAGTAATTAGAGAATTCCGGTAGTCATTTACAAATTCAGATTTATTTCTTTCTTTTTATTTTGGTCTTTCGAGACAGGGTTTCTCTGTAGCTTTGGTTCCTGTCCTGGAACTAGCTCTTGTAGACCAGGCTGGCCTCGAACTCACAGAGATCCGCGTGCCTCTGCCTCCCGAGTGCTGGGATTAAAGGCGTGCGCCACCATCGCCCAGCTCAAGCACACTATTTTTGTCTGTTGTTTAGGCAGACTCACTAGGCAGGCTAGGCTGGCCTTGAACTACAATCCTCTTGCCTTAGCTCTCCATCACTGGATTCCAGGCACACCTACCTTCAAGCCAACAATTCTGAGAATTTACCTGAAAATGAGAGGCGTGAGCAGTCTTTGGGACTTACCTTCTGGACCCTGGAGAAAAGCCTTGTTATTCCTGTCAGCATTGTCTTTGCTCTCTTAAAAAAAATAAAGAGACAGAGAAAAAAGAAGGTAAGCCACTATTAAAAGATATTTGCAATATGAAAATCTGATACTATCTAGATATATGAAAATCATCTATGAATCAACAGACTAGGCAAAACACAAGAATAAGCATTTCACTCAGGAAACATTATGGGTAATAACTTTAATATCACAAGTCACAAGAATGAAATCAAAACCTCAATAATGAGATGCCAATCATAAACCCATCCACCATCTTAAGAAAAATAAAAAAGTGCCACGCCAATTGTTAAATCCAAATGTATGGGAGGAAAAATCAACCTTTACAGAGTTGAAGATTCAGCTGGGCGATGGAGGCGAACAGCTTTAATTCCAGCACTTGGGACGCAGAGGATCTCTGTGAGTTCAAGGTCAGCCTGGACTACAAAGAGAATTCTAGGACAGCCAGGGCTGTTACACAGAGAAACCCTGTCTTGAAAAACAAACCAAAAAGGAAAGATTCTAGTACCCAGCTATTCTATTCCTTTGTATTCTAGAAAACTACTTAAGAATCCACATGGGAAAATACTGAAGAGTTTATTGTAGAGGAGTCTGAAGTATCCGAAACTCTGAAATCAGAAAATGTCCATTGATGAAAGAGAATAGTCACAGAAACAGCAAGAAAGAAACTAAGATATGGATTAACTTCAAAAATAAATACTGGCTAGGCATGATGGTGGACACCTTTAATCCTAACACTAGGGAAGCAGGGGCAGTGGATCTCTCTGAGCTCCCAGCCTGGTCTACAGAGTGAGTTCCGGGACAACCAGGACTACACAGAGACATCTTGTCTCAAACAAACACACAAAAACTAATACCAAGTGAAAATCATTATAACTAGCATTAAATAAATGTCAAAAGCATGTACTAGGTTGAGGAAGGAAGATCTAAATTTCAAGGTCACCAGGGGTAAACAACACCCACCTCAAACAAAACACACAAGCAATCCCTCCAGCTTCACTTGATATTTGCAGGGCACACACGTGGTAAAATGGAATCGGAAAGGTGAATGAATGCTATGAACATCTAGAATACCGATGACACATAGGGAGGAAGGAAAGGGAAGTAAAGGGGAAAGACACACTGGAAATTGGTAATCATCAATTTACAATACCGGATAATGGATATCTAAGTATATATTTTACTATACTATTAGTCTTTTTGTATTGTTTTGAGACAGGGTCTTACTATATAGCCCGGCTGACATGGAACTCACTATGTAGATGAGGCTGATCTTGAACTTGTGCAGATCCCCAAACTGTCCCCAGTGAGAGCCATCACACTCACAGGGTCTTGCTGTCTGTGGGTGTAACAAAGAGCTCCGGCAGAGCATCTGAGGAGACAGGTGTACCGTGGTTTACAGCTCCAGAGGCATATGGGAGGTAGAGGTGGGGAGACAGGCACAGACAGAGAAGGCATAGTGGCAGAGACAGGAAGCCTGGCCATACTGCGCCTACACTCAGAGCCCATCCTTCACCAGTCCACTTCCTCCAGTCACGCTCCACACCTTTCCCAAATACTACCTGCACCACTGAGTGCAGGTCTTCAAATCCATGAGCCTGTGGGGTTCATTCACACACAGACCACACAACAGTATTTTATCCATGAGCCTGTGGGGTTCATTCACATACAGACCACACAACAGTATTTTATCCATGAGCCTGTGGGGTTCATTCACATAAAGATGGAGGAGGGTCATCTTTCTATCTGTTGATTTCATTGGTTAAGCAATAAAGAAAATGTTTGGCCCTCATAGGTTAAAAAATTAGGTAGGCGGAGTAAACAGAACAGAAGGCTGGGAGAAAGAAGCTGAGTCAGGAGTCGCCATGATTCTCCCACTCCAGACAGACGCAGGTTAAGATCATTCCTGGTAAGCCAGCTCGTGGGCTACACAGATTATCAGAAATGGGCTAGTCCAGGTGCAAGAGTTAGCCGAGAAAAGACTAGATATAATGGGCCAACCGGTGTTTAAAAGAATACAGTTTCCATGTAATTATTTCAGGTAAAGCTAGCCGTGTGGGCAGCCGGGTGCCGGGGACGCCAGCCCGCCGCTCCTATTACTACAACACAACAGTATTTTATCCATGAGCCTGTGGGGTTCATTCACATACAGACCACACAACAGTATTTTATCCATGAGCCTGTGGGGTTCATTCACATACAGACCACACAATAGTAATTTATCCATGAGCCTGTGGGGTTCATTCACATACAGACCACACAACAGTAATTTATACCTGAGACAGGGTAGCTTTGGAGCCTGTCCTGGAACTAGCTCTTGTAGACCTGGCTGACCTCTGCCTCCCAAGTGCTGGGGTTAATGCATGCACCACTACCGTTCGGTTTATACATTGAGTTTTTTAAATTTTTATATCATGTCCTAAATTTCGGTTTATACCTTGAGTTTTTTTTTTATTTTTATATCATGTCCTAAATTTATCCTTTTGGGTGCTGAAAACATTTAAATAGAAAGAAACTTAAACTATAGTATTTCCTTAAGACCCCAGCAGAAGCAGATATAGTGCCTCATGCTTGTAGCTCTAGCTCTTGAGATGTTGAAGCTGAAGGGCTTCTTTGACTCTGAGGCAAGCCTGAGCAAACAAACAAACAGACCTGATACCCAGTGTCAGTCTGAAACCATGGAAAACACCACACCAAAAATACTCGTTTTTTTTTTTTTTTAGTATACATATCTCTACAATAAAGTTCAATGAATAAATGACGGCATTTTACTAAATGCCTTATTTAAATAAATAGAATCATAATAAATAAGTTACATAAATGTAGTTTCCCCCCTTTCCAGATGGGGTGTCACTATACAGTTTAGGCTGGTGTCTAATTCATGGTCCTCTTGCCTCTGAGCAAGCATTCAGACAGATCTCCTTCAAAATATCTTAGTGTACCTTCATCTTCATTTAGATGAAGCACTTTCTACCACCTCTTTGGCATATCTGAACTCCCAGCATTATTACCCTCTCTCTTTTTAAATTAAATTTCATTTTTTTTCCTCTCTAAATCTCTGGTTTTCCTCAAAATCACAGAGTGTACGCTATCTGCCTCTGCCCCCCCCCCCCCCCCCCCCCCCGGTGCATATGCTGGGATTAAAAGCATATGCACCATCATACTAGGCTCCAGCATCACCATCATGCCATGCCAGGCTCCAGCATCACCATCATGCCATGCCAGGCTCCAGCATCATTACTCTTAAGCTTCGATCTTTAATTAACGAAGGGTGACTTGACAGTCTCCAGTGCTGCCACTGTTTATCTGATACCTAAACGACTACTAGCTGGCAGCATGGCAGAGTGAACATGGTGGGAAACAAAGGTTCAGGTCCAGGAAAGATGGGGCGCCACAACCCAAGAGTTCTACAGGTCCAGGAAAGATGGGGTGCCACAACCCAAGAGTTCTACAGGTCCAGAAAGATGGGGTGCCACAACCCAAGAGTTCAACAGGTCCAGGAAAGATGGGGTGCCACAACCCAAAAGTTCTACAGGTCCAGAAAGATGGGGCGCTACAATCCAAGAGTTCATCAGGTCCAGGAAAGATGGGGTGCCACAACCCAAGAGTTCATCAGGTCCAGGAAAGATGGGGTGCCACAACCCAAGAGTTCAACAGGTCCAGGAAAGATGGGGTGCCACAACCCAAGAATTCTACAGGTCCAGGAAAGATGGGGTGCCACAACCCAAGAGTTCAACAGGTCCAGGAAAGATGGGGTGCCACAACCCAAGAGTTCTACAGGTCCAGAAAGATGGGGCGCTACAACCCAAGAGTTCATCAGGTCCAGGAAAGACGGGGCACTACAACCCAAGAGTTCAACAGGTCCAGCAAAGATGGGGCGCTACAATCCAAGAGTTGATCAAGTTCATCAAAATGGCATTCAAATTTGCAAACTGCTCATTGCTATAATTTTGAACCATGGTTGACTTTGAAGTTTTTAAAAATATTTATTTATTTATTACGTATACAATATTCTGTCTGTGTGTATGTCTTCAGGCCAGAAGAGGGCACCAGACCTCATTACAGATGGTTGTGAGCCACCATGTGGTTGCTAGGAATTGAACTCAGGACCTTTGGAAGAGCAGGCGATGCTCTTAACTTCTGAGCTATCTCTCCAGCCCTGACTTTGAATTTTTTAAAGATTTTCTTTCCCAGCAATCAGGAGGCAGAGGCAGGCGGATCTCTGAGTTCGAGGCCAGCCTGGTCTACAAGAGCTAGTTCCAGGACAGGAACCAAAAGCTACGGAGAAACCCTGTCTCGAAATATCAAAAAAAAAAAAAAAAAAGATTTTCTTTTTTATGTCTACAAATGCTTTAACTGCATGTATGTATATGTACTATATTTGTACCTGATGCTAACAGAGATCAGAAGAGATCTCCTGGAACTGGAGTTATAGATGGTTGTGAGCCACATGGGAGTGCTGGAAGCTGAACCAGGTCTTCTGTAAGAGCAACAAGTGTTCTCTTACCTGCTGAGTCATCTCAATAGCCCTATTGTTGACCTTGGGAGACTGAATTTATGGAAAGCAAATTCTTCCACAGGTAGAGATACATAGCATTGACTGAATAACTAAATGAAATCTCTTGGTAATTATTACTTTATACCTATTACAACACAAATTATTAAATCAATAACAGTAACAAGAGAGTTGTACCAATACCAGTAAATACCATGAACAAACACACAAACCAGCCTGGAGAGATGGCTCAGTGTGAAGAGCATTGCTGCACTGCAATGCACTCAGGCTTGAAGCTCAGCACTGCACAGCAGCTTACAACAGTCTGGAATTCCAGTGCCATGGGATTGGGTGCCCCTTCCTAGACTCCATGTGTACCAGACATACATGCAAAACACAATATTTTTAATACAAGATGTATTTTCATCTTATGTCTATGGGTGTTTTGCCTGCATGTTTGCAAGGGCACTGCATGCATGCGTGGTTCCCACGTCTCAATCATGGGTGGTTGTGAGCTGC